TCTCCTTCTTTCTCCTTCTTTCTCCTTCTTTCTCCTTCTTTCTCCTTTCTCCTTCTTTCTCCTTCTTTCCCACCTTCTTTCCCACCTTCTTCTGCCTCGTATCTCACTCGGCAAAGCTGACTTTAAGAATAGCTCGCCCGTACTGAGTCGCAGGCTAGTGCATACGATCATGGTCGTCGATCTTGTGTCGCCGGATGGGAAAGAACAAAGGTCTAGTATCAAGCTCAAGCCGAATAACGATCTCCGTACGTCCTCTTCTCTCCCTTCTCGTTCTCCCTTCTCTTCTCCTTTTTCCTTCTCATCATCTTCTCCTCATCTCCTCCCCTAGTATAGTATCAAACTAACTCCCAACCCCCCCAGTCAACTCCTCATCCCCCGAATCATCCCCCGCACCCCCGATCTACAGGCGCAACCTCCTAGGCGCCACCGTCCGCGCCTCCTCCGTCCTCAGCAGGGGTGGCGGAAGACATCCAGAGCGGGGGATCTTTTTTGTGTTTTCGGAATTGGTGGTGAGGAATTTTGGGGTGTTTGCGCTGAGGATGAGGGTTGCTGATTTGGCTGGGTGAGTTTTTTTTTCTTTCTTTCTTTTTCTTTCCTCTTTCTATGTATGAGGGATGAGAGGGGGTAGTGGGGAGGGATGGAGAGGAGAAGGGGAGGAAGGGGCAGGAAGGGTGCAAGAGCTGATAGTGGTGAACAGGCCAGCGCATCTTGGGACTTCTATCGGTGTAACGCGGACGTTGGTGGAGGGGTTGACCCCGCCCTTTGAAGTATTGTAAGTGCTTCCCTTTCCCTCCTTCTCCCTTCCTTCTCCGTTCTTCTATTTGTACTCGGGAGGGGGAGGTGGCTGATGGAAGGCGAATACATGTAGTCATCCGACAAAGTATCCGGGGCCGATACCTGTGACGGAGCTTTCGCAAGAGTTTACGAGGCAGGGGGAACGGCATCTTGGGGTGAGTGTTTTTTTTTTTTTTGTCTCTCTCTCTCTCTCTCTTTTGTTTCTCTCTCTGCGAATCTCTTTATCAAGCCCTTGGTCCCCCCCCCCACCCCCCCCCGAGGTCCTTCTCTGTTTTGGATATCTTGGAAGAGACTTGAGAATCTTGAGAATGTATTTGCTGACGGCGATGGTTTGGTTAGCGCAAATCTCGATTAGATCTTATGGCTTCTAGCGATGATGAAGTATAGCCCCCGCCCCCCGCCCCCTGCCCTCACGCCATCACGACACCGTCCCCCGCCCAGCCGCACAGCCACACAGCCACATCCTATCCCTTGCACTTTTCTCTCCAGCGTTTTTCCCAGCTTCGTCATACAACTCTCCTTCCCGACGTCTCGTTTCTTCGTCATATACGCCAAATACCCCGCTCGGTCGTTGATTATTGATTATTCGACCTTTTTCCCACGTCTCCTGCTTTTCTTGGTGGGCAGGTGGTTGATTGGTGATTGGTGATTGGAGGCGGGGAGAGGGGCGAGGAGGAGAGCAGTGGATACGGTGGGTACGGTGGAGGTGGAGGTGGAGGTGGAGGTGGGGGTGGGGGAGTCAGTACTGTGTTTGTGGTCGAGAAGATGTATGCTGGTGGGCGAAGATGTTTTTGGTATTGTGGGAGTGAGTACGGCGGGGATGGATCAACGAAAAGTAACTCTTTGGAAGTGTGAGGAATCGGCGATGTAGTATTCATGTCATGAGATTGTGTTTCTGCTGCAAGGTCTCTTTTAGCTCTACTCGCCTCCGTCTTCGTTACCGTTACTCGTTCTCGCTCTCTTCCTCTCTACTAGTAAGCCTGCCCGACGCACATCGACACGCCCATATTCTCTACCCTTACCTTCTTCCACCCGTCTCCTCTTTCTTATGGTCTTTAGCCTTTTCGTATGCTTCGCTGGTCGACTTGTACCCTTATTTGCTTCGTGCCGTAGACGTGTCACGTAGTCCCTCCGTTCATCGTCTCGTCACTCATTCATGTACCCGGGCCAGGGAAGACTGAAGCCGGGGTATCTAAGAAAGGCTGTGAGTTGGGACGGACTCTTCAAAAACGCTTCTACTCTCTTCTCTCCCCCCTCTGCTTTTTTTATCCTCTACTGATCCTTCCAAGACCTCATCCAAGCACATCTGTGTGCTCCTCTTCATGTAATTGGACTCAACCTTCAATTACACTTGGTGATAACTTGAGCCGTCGCCCCAGAGCAGGCCTGATCACCACACTGAGCAACGCAAGCAATGTTGTGTGATGAACGATTGGTGGAGGTAGGTCTGGACACGACATCGGTTGATGTTGGTGGTTTGTGGATGGGGGTTAGAAGTGAGAGTGAAGGAGATTTTGAGTGATGAACGGTGAACAGCTGATAGTCTGGCGGTGTCAGAGATCTCGCTCGTGTTCAAGTCTCTCATGGATGCGATTCTTGAAACACTATTCCGCGGATTCTGTTCATGTTGTAAGGTTTTATAGGTTTCATACATAAGGAAGAAGAAGACATATGGAAAATTACTATGAAACACTCCAGCGTGGACCGCAATCCTTTCTTCCCAGACATATCACAACAATTCGAAAGCTACTTACTGCATTGCATGGATCTCAACCCCCAGCAACAATCATGCAACGATCACTGCCAAAGAGCGGCTAAATCGTCCCACAGGGGTTTAAAAAATTGTAGAAGGGAATCCCTGCAGTCTAGACAATCAACAGAGCGCCGGATTGACATGTCGATTTCGGACCACAGGGTATCGTCATCGCGGCCCGGCCAAGAAGCGAGATTGCTTCGGAGAGCCTTCCCACCCGACTTACTGGCGGTCGCCCACCAGAATCCAGATTTCTTGCAACTACACTCCTCCCCACCGCACTCCACTAATCTCTTATCCTTGAAATCGGCTTGTGACTTTTTCAGAAAGTCATAGTTGGCTGTAGAGCACGACAAGAGGGAATAGGTTTTTTTGTAGAAGGAGAATGGGTTTCGCCGGTGTATATTTCTCAAAAGCGCGGCATATGGGGCGTGGTGCTTGTCGAGGACGGGAAGTAAGGGCCGTGGACACAACTCCGTAAGGTCCGAAAGAAGAGTTGATCTTGCGAAGGCTTTAGCAACTGTTTCGTCGGCCTCAAACGCGGCATAGAGGTATTGGAACCAAATAGACGTTTTGGGGATGCTCAAGCGAGCCTGGGCTGAGAATCTGGTGAAGCCGTACTGGTTGGCGATTCTGAAAGCAAGCGCCAGGTCCTCAAGATCGTACTCGTACTCCCAAAGTTCCTGGGAGCGGAATACTTTTCGCTTATAGTCGTAGAGGTCAAGCGAGGATTTGGTCTCTTTGACCTTGAGCAACATCACCCGCAAGCCGTTTGACAGCGCCCCCGGCATATCCCTGCGCACGGCTTGGGTACGACCTTTCCCAGCATCGTCGTCTTGTCTGATATCTGATTCCATCTCTTCAAAGTCGCGGAAGAAATCAGAGTGCTCTAGGAGGAAGGCTCTGTTGACATAGAAGCCAACGTCGTCGTCGGTGACTAGCAGAAAGTCGTCGTTCGTCTGGATGGAGAAATCGGGATGTATGGACGAGGGAAGAGGATCGGGGGATCGCTCGGAGGGAGATGATACAACGTCTTGAGTGACCTCTAATGACTGTCAGCGGTCTAACGTATTTACATGGACGCGATGGGACGCACCCGTCAGCCTATCCGCGCCCGCAGAATCCGCCGCTTCCGAGCCGGGGGTAAAAGAAGAAGACAGCACTCGACGATCAACGTCTTCATGAGTACGCGAAGCGTCGGTGTCTACTTCGCAACATCAGTGTAAGGCCGGAAGACATTTGTATGATTCACTCACCCTGGACGTCCTTCACGTCGAGATGATTGAGCGACTTGATCAATTCCGCGTCGTCGCCTGACATGTCGTCGCGTTGTGAGGAATCCGGATGATATATGCTAATGAGGAAGGAAAGTGCTGGTCTTGGGAGCCGAAATGGATGTTCAGATCAGTAGGCTGACGGTAATATAGCTTTAGAGAGATGTCTCAAAGCTGTGAAAGTGCATGGGAAGGTAAGCGGAAACGATAGAAAGATGTCGTACTACGCGAATCTTTCCGTTGAAAAACGATCACGCAGCTGAGTTTTGATCACTGGTTCACAGTCTGCAGCTCCTACCACCTGGTAAGATGACGAAGCTTGAGAAAGCACAACAGGCTTCACAATATACCCCGCTGCTAGTCCTCGAACCTTCCCATGCCACATTGTGTTCATAACTGTATTCCAAGGCTACTTACTGCGTTGCATAGATCTCAGCCCCCAGCAACAATCACTGCAACAATCACTGCAACAATCACTGCAACAATCACTGCCAAAAAGCGGCTAAATCATACCACAGGGATTTGAAAGATCGTATAACGGAATCGCGGCAGTCTGGACAATCAACAGAGTCTCGGATTGACTCGTTGATATCAGACCACAGGCTGTCGTCATTGCGGCTCAAATGATCCGAATAGAGATTGCGTCGGAGAGCCTTCCCACCCGACTGACTGGCGGTTGCCCACCAAAATCCAGATTTCTTGCAACTACACTCCTCCCCACCGCACTCCACTAATCTCTTAACCTCAAAATCGGCTTGTGACTTTTTCAGAAAGTCATAGTTGGCTGCAGAGTAGGACAAGAGGGAATAGTGGTCTTTGTAGAAGGAGAATGGGTTT